CATTTAAAGATTACTTGTGATAATGCTGGGGGACAAAATAAAAACAATGTAACAATTTGGTTTTATTTATATTTAGTAATTTGTGATTATTATGAAAGCATTGAATTGAATTTCATGGTTCCAGGACATACCAAATTCAAATGTGATGGTAATTTTGGGATGATTAAAAAACTCTATAGAAGGACCAGAGTAGACTGTCTGAATCATGTGGTTGAAGTAATAAAAAAGTCTAGTCTAACAGGATTGAATAGAGCTCAATGTTACAAAAGTGGAAAAGGTTTTCAATACTTAGATATTAAAGCAATTTTGGGAATTTATTTTAAGAAATTACCAAGTATCCAGAAATATCAACATTTTCTTTTTGAAGCACCTAATCTTTGTATAGTCAAAACTCAGGAAACTGCTAATGGACCTTTTGTTGAATTCAATTTATTGAAAACCAGGAAAGTAGATATTTTTGAAGAAATTAGAACTTTATCTATTTTAGTATTAACACCACCCCTCTTGGATTACAAAAGACAAGAATATCTTTACCAGAATATCTGCCCATTTGTGAAAGATGAATACAAAGATATTACTTGTCCAAGACCATTCTATACTGGCAATAAATAAAATATTTAGAACAAAAACACCTTCATTACTTTATCACACCTGTTAATTTGTCCCCTTACTGTCATTAAATTTAATCTTTTGACAAATATTGTTAACTTTAAAGTAAAAAGTATTAAAATAATCTATATACTTAATCTTAATATGTCCTCATAAAAAGGATATAAGCATATTAAAAGAATAAAAAAAAAAAAAAAGTAAAACCATGTGGTTGAAGTAATAAAAAAGTCTAGTCTAACAGGATTGAATAGAGCTCAATGTTACAAAAGTGGAAAAGGTTTTCAATACTTAGATATTAAAGCAATTTTGGGAATTTATTTTAAGAAATTACCAAGTATCCAGAAATATCAACATTTTCTTTTTGAAGCACCTAATCTTTGTATAGTCAAAACTCAGGAAACTGCTAATGGACCTTTTGTTGAATTCAATTTATTGAAAACCAGGAAAGTAGATATTTTTGAAGAAATTAGAACTTTATCTATTTTAGTATTAACACCACCCCTCTTGGATTACAAAAGACAAGAATATCTTTACCAGAATATCTGCCCATTTGTGAAAGATGAATACAAAGATATTACTTGTCCAAGACCATTCTATACTGGCAATAAATAAAATATTTAGAACAAAAACACCTTCATTACTTTATCACACCTGTTAATTTGTCCCCTTACTGTCATTAAATTTAATCTTTTGACAAATATTGTTAACTTTAAAGTAAAAAGTATTAAAATAATCTATATACTTAATCTTAATATGTCCTCATAAAAAGGATATAAGCATATTAAAAGAATAAAAAAAAAAAAAAAGTAAAACCAAATAAATAATAATGTATATTGTTTTTCACTTTTAATTTCTTCCCCAAAAAATAAAATGCCTAATAAATATATATTTTTCAAAAGCTAATATTATACTCTACCTGTTAATGTTAAAAAGATCTCAATGAGTCTTCTCCCTGAAAAGGATGGTGGACCTGAAGGCAAAAAGTATGTGCTTTTTCGAACAATTATTTCTCTTGAATGAAAAAAGCTAATGAAGTATAAAAGATTGTGATTGAAAGAGCAAAACTATGAAAATATGTTTACATAGAAACATGAAGGATGTTTGATCATGCTTTTTCGTTCATTTTTGGTTTTAAAGTCTGTTGTACGGAAAAGTGCTATGTCGATCACTATAACAAAATCACTCATTGTGACATCACGGATGACTGTTAATGATTACGCAAAGCAA